AGCCTGTCTTCTGTGTCTGAGATCCTGTCCTCATATCAGTCTAATGTGCTTTGAATACTTTATGGATTCCATTTGTTTCCTATGCTGCGCTTCCATAATTTGCTTAAGCTTGTCTATTTTTCTTGTCCGTTTCTGCTCTAACATTACTAAGCATGGTGTGTATTTTGGTAATCTCTGTAGTTATTTGAGAGATTATTTCTGATTTCATTTTTTCCAGAGTTTCATCCAATTGCTTTGCTGTTACCACTTTGGAGAGACCTGGTGAGGGGGCTTTCGGGTTGTCCCACCTCGTTACCCCTTGGTTTTGCCTTTGGTGAACTGGATGTCTGGGGTTGCATTTTGTTTAATTGTCTTCTCATTTCTTTTCTTATTTAGTTTAATTCCGGGGTGATGCTTGTAAGTTGCCTATGTTGGGTTGCTTTATTGGTGGTGTTTAGGACCCTTAGTAATGATTATTTAGTAATGATTATTTCTCTGAGGTGTCTTCAGGAGTAGCTGGATTTTGGGTTTTGCATCTGTTGGGAGATTTACCTCTTCAGTTTGTTGGAGATGAGACGTTGTTGCTCTTTTGACCTGGTTCCCGGTTCTTTGGCACCGTGCCATAGTATTTTCTGTGACCCTCTCAGTCGTGATTATCAGGGCCAACAGCTATGATTCTATCACAAAATGTAAAACAAATCAGATAATGATATGCAATGTGTGCCAATTTTGCTCTCAGGGGTTAAAATTTACAATAGATAAAAGAGATAAAGAGAAGTGGGAAAAGAGAAAGATCTAAGTAAGGTTGGGACAAAAATGGATCCTATCAACTTGGGGACACTAGGGAAGAAGATTGAAGGAAAAGAGGGGTGGAAGAGATAAAGACAGAACAGAACTGAACCATACCCACAAAGAGGTTAGGAACCACTCTCACACTCATAGAAAATAAAACAGAGAAAGAGAAATAAAAAACTAACTGAACAAAACAAAACAAAACAAAACCAAACAAACAGACACCCAAATAGTCCACTTCCAGGATTCTCTCTGGTTTTACTAGGAGACAGCCTGTGGAGACAGAGTCCAGATTCATGCCGCTGTATCCCTACAAGCAAGCAGGCAGTTGCTTTATGGAGGAGTAGCAGACAACCATAGTGGGCGTGCCCTGAGACCAGGCTCCTTGCGCTCGCTGCAGTCCAAGCAGTTTCCACAGGTTTGTGTCCCGCTAGGAGCTGCTAAGAAAGCCAGCAGCAGCGCTAGACCTGGGCTCATCTGCAGGAGGACCGAGTCCTGTGCCCTCACAGCCAGCCGGTGCAGTCCTCCAGGTCTGCCTTTCCCCTCCACTGGCACGGCTCTCTGCAGGGGCCTCTGGGGTCACCAGCCACCGCTGTGACCATGGTTGTGTGTCCGTAGGTTGCAGGAGCTCCTCTTACGCAGCGAGCCTGGCTGTGGGCGAAGGCGCTGCCAGCCGCTGCCTTCATGGTTGAAGTCTTGCTTCTGCCTTCTCCTCTCTCTGTGGGCCTTCAGTTCCCACTTCAGATTTTTCCTGGGTCCTGGGGACTCACTTCCTTGTCTTCCTCATATTCCAGTGTCTGAATGGTGACGCAGAGAGGCTGTTTTCTCTGCTGCTTACTGCTCTGCCATCTTCCTCGAAGTCAGTTCTCCAATTTATTGAAAAAATCTTTTTCGGTCTTTTTCTTTGTTTTCTTTTTGTCTTTTTCTTTTTTATCAGTACCGGGGATCAAACTCACGACCACACACTTGCAAGGCAGGCGTTTATGCTGCTGAACTAAATCCCCAGCCCTTCTTTGTTTTTTTTTCTTGGGTAGTGGGAATCGAACTCAGGATCTCTTGCTTGCCAGGCAGATACTGTACCACTGAGCTATATTCCCAGCCCTTTTCTGTCTTTTTGAGACAGGGCTTCTCTGTGGAATTCAGACTGGCTTTGAACTTACTTTGTAACCTAGGCTAGCCTTGAACTCACAGTGATCCTCCTGTCTTAGCCTTCCAAATGTTGGGATTACTGAAGTATTGGTTTCAAAGTAGTTACTAATAATTTTCTTGTTTTCAGGAGTGCCATTGTGATTTTACCTTTTTTGATTCTAATTGTCTTGCCTTTCTCTCTCTCTCTCTTTCTTTTTTCCACAAGATTGGCCAAGGGTTTGTCTATTTTATTTATTTATTCAACAACTAGCTCTTTAACTCATTCATACTTTGTAATTTTTTTAGTCTCGATTTCATTAATTTCTGTTTTGATTTTTATAATTTCCTTTATTGTACTAGCTTTGGATTTAGATTATTCTTGTTTTTGTAGGACTTTGAGTTGCATCATTTGGTTATTTATTTGGATCACTTTCTGATGTGAGCATTCACAGCTATACAATTCCTTTCATTGTGTCTCATAGGTTCTGGTATGCTGTACTGGTGTTATCATTTGATTTGAGGAGCTATTTCTTCGGGAGCTCCCTGATTATTCAAGACTGTATTATTTCATTTCCATGTGTTTGTATAATTTCTATGGTTTGATTTGCTTCTAGTTGCACTGTGATCAGATAAGATGCATGGAATAATTTTGATTCTTCTGCACTTACTGAAGAATACTTTATTGGCTGATATGTAGTCTGTTTTGGAGAATGTTCCATGTCTTTGGACATGTGTGTATTCTAAGGAGAATGTGTGTTCTTTTATTCTTGGATGGAATATTCTGTACATGTCCGTTAAATCCATTTGAGGATTTAGTTCAATTTTTATATTTCTTTGTTGAATTTTTGTCTAGTTGATCTAATTGTGACTATGTAGTATTAAGGTTGCCCACTATAATTGTGTTGATGTTAATCTGATTTTTTAATGTATGATAATGTTTGTTTTATGAAATTGGGTGCATTGGAGATTGGTGCATATTTGTTTAAGAGTTGCTACATCTTCCAGTTGAATTGTTCTATTGATTAATATGTAATGACCTTTGCCTCTATGGATCAGTTTTGAGTTGAAGCCCACTTTGTCTGAAAATAAGATAACTGTTCTTATTTGTTTTTGGATTCCTGTTGCATCCTTTAATTTTTAATCTATGAATTTCTTTTTGGAGTAAATGTGTTTCTATATACAACAACTCATTGGGTTTTGTTTCTTGATCCATTCCTCCAACTTGTCTTTTGATTGGAAAATTGAGGTCATTCACTTTGACAGTGATTGTGAAAGATGTTGACTGCAGGCGTGGGGGCACATGCCTGTAGTCCCATCATTTGTGAGGCTGAGGCAGATGGACTTCTGCAAGTTTGAGGCCAGCCTGGGCTACAAAATGAGTTGAAGGCCAGCCTGAACCATATCAACCTCAAAAAGACCAACAAAAATTTTTTTTGACTAATTCTTATGATTTAATTATTTTCCTGTTGTTGATTTCCTTTTTTCTCCTCATGCTTATCTGTACATACTGTGTGGTATATTCATTTGCTAGACTTTTTGGTATTATTGGCTTTATTTCCTTCTAGGATATACTTCAGTATGTTCTGGAATGCTGGTTTAGTGGTCATAAATTTCTTTAAGGTAGTCTTTGTCATTATTTCTTTATCAGTTTTTTTTTTTTTTTTTTTTTTTTTGTCTTTTTTCATTTTTATCGGTACCGGGGATCGAACTCACGACCGCCTGCTTGCAAGGCAGGTGCTTATGCCGCTGAGCTAAATCCCCAGCCCCTCTTTATCGGTTTTTAATATGTCACTATTTCTTTAATTTGTCATTTTTTTTTTTAACTTTTTATCGGTACCGGGGATCGAACTCACGACCGCCTTGCTTGCAAGGCAGGTGCTTATGTCGCTGAGCTAAATCCCCAGCCACTTAATTTGTCATTATTTCTTTATCAGTTTTTAAAAGTAGTTTTGCAGGATATATCAGTCTGGGTTGGAATTTGTTTTCTTTTTTTGAATTTGTTTTCTTTTAGGGATTGAAATACTTCAAGCTCAATTTGGCCTTTAAATTTTGTGTTGAGAAGTCTGCTGTTACTCTAATGAGTTTTTCTTTATCAATAATTTGTTGTTTTTCTCTGATAGCTTTTTAGATTCTGTCTTTGCATTGGACTTCTGGGATTTTTTTTGCCTATGATGTGCTGTGGAGAGGTTCTTTTCTGATTGTAGCTATTTGAGGTTCTATATGCTGTCTATTAAATTCTTTCCTCATGTCTGGAAAATTTTCAGCTGTTATTTCTGTAAACAGGTTTTTGTTTGTTTTTTGAGACAGGGTCTCACTATGCAATTCAGGCAATCTTTGAACTCACTATGTAGCCCAGGCTGGGTTTGAACTTGCAAGGATCTTCTACCTTAGCCTCCCATGTGCTGGGATTATAGGTGTGAGTCACCACACAGGTTTTTTGTGTCATTTGCACTGTCTTCTGATTTTTCACTAATTTCAATTACAGTGGTACCCCTGTTCACAAACTTAACCTGTTCCCTGGTTCTGTGTTTGTGTTCATGTGGAAAAGATGGCCATGGTCATTATCGGAGGCAGAGTTCACAAACAAAAACAAAATTTTCCAAATGCTTTGCAGCCAAATCGTTTGCAAACAGTAACTGATATAAGTCTTTGCACCATCTGGCTGTTGTTGGAAACAGTTTTCATGTTCTTTTATTGTTTCTAAGGTGTCTCAGAGTAATTGGTTTCTGACACTTTATCCTCACACTGGTCACTTCTGCTGCCCATAGTTTAAATAGAATTTTTAATCTCCTGTATTTGATACCTTTTTGTGGACTCACTTTGCTAAACCGGTCATTCATGTTTTTTTTTTTAAATCACTTTGTGTAGCTGAGCTAGCTTTTTTTGTTTTGTTTTGTTTGTGTGTTTGTTTGGTCTTTTTCCTTTGTATCCATGGCGGGGATGGAACTCACGACTGCCTGCTTGCAAGGCAGGCGCTGAGGCCACTGAGCTAAATCTCCAGGGCCTGAACTAGCTTTTTATTAGTGTCTTCTTCAGACTTGCTGATTATTAAATCCATTATCTGTTCTATCTTTTATTTATTTTTTATTTTTTTGAGACAGAGTTTCACTCTGCACTTCAGGATGGCCTTGAACTCACTTTGTAGCCCAGACTGGCCTCACCTTGCATTGATACTCCTGCCTTAGCCTCCCAAGTGCTAGCATTACAGGTATGTGCCACCACACCTGGCCTGATGTGGTTTTTTTAATCTCTTTTAACATTTTCAGTTATTCAGCTGGTTGGTTTTTGAGTTCCTCACAGTGCCTCATGGATCAACCTTGGGAAACTTGAAAGTTTTTGGAAATACTTTGTTGCCTTTTCTTTTCATTTCTACTGGTGTGTGTGTGTGTGTGTGTGTGTGTGTGTGTGTGTAGGGTAAAGGGGGTAAAGGTTTCTTGTTAGTACTGAGAATCTTTTAGTTAGGTCTATTTTTCAGTAATGCATTGTGGACATGGCTAGCTATAGGCCTTTGCCTCTGTCTCATGCACCAATGAACTCAATTAATTTGGGAGGTGAAAATGCAGTGTCATTGCCAATTTTCTGTGAATGGACCACACAGTATTGTTAATGACATAAAGTCAATCCAGATATTGACATACAGGAAAAAACCAACTAATAGCAGCAACTATGCCACTTTGGCAACTGTATCAAAATCAGCAACAATAATAGAGTCAAAAACAAGGTTTTAAACTAAAAGAACCTGTAGTGTACCACCTTTTTTTTTGGTACCTGGAATTGGACCTCACACTTGCCAGGCAGTCCCTATACCACTGAGCTAAATCCCTGGCCCAGTAATGTACCACCTTTTTTTTTTGTCTTTTTCATTTTTATAAGTACCTGGGATCGAACTCACGACCGCCTGCTTGCAAGGAAGGTGCTTATGCCGCTGAGTTAAATCCCCAGCCCCAGTGTACCACCTTTAACCGTAGAAAACAGATCTATAACTATAAACACTGAGAGAAGCCAAATACTCACATACAATAAATATCTACTAAGTGCAGCAACTATACTTCCACTAATAGGAAAGAATTCAATGTAATAGTGTGGGGTTAACTATCTGAACCATAAGAAACCATAAGAAAGCTTAATTGGTTATACTACTAATTAAAGATAGAGGGGGTGGACAAACAGGAAAATTTAAAAAGTAAAATTTGAAAAGCAATGGAAGAGGAGAGAAAGAAAAAAGTGAGATAAGTGATCCTATTAAGGAGTAAAAGGAAATTAATAGAATTATATGAAAGTTACAGTAAGAACAAGGAATAAAAATAAGATAACTAAATATATAAAAAGGAAAAAAATCCCAAATCCTTAAAAACCAATGGGAAAAAAAAAATGAGTTAAAAAATTTCTCCAGCCAGGCATGATGTCACACACTAGTAATTCCAGCACTTGGGAGGCTGAGGCAAGAGCATCTCTGTGAGTTCAAGGCCAGCCTATGCTACATAATGAGTTTGAGGCCCACCTGGACTATATACCATGACCATGTGTTGAAAAAAACAAAACAGAACACAACTTCCTCTCTATTTTGAATGAATGATTTTTTTCCAATCTTGGAATCCAGCAGATCATGGTTTTCTTTCCTTTTCTTTCCTTTTTTTTTTTTGGTACCAGGAATCAAACTCTGAACCTTGTACCTGCCAGGCAGGCATGGTGCCACTAAGCTGTATCCCCGGCCAGGTCATGGTTCTCTCCACTTAGGTTTATGGCCTGTGGGGCCCAGCCTTTCTGTACACCCCAGGCTGTGGCAGTCGTCCAAGCCAAGGCATGTCCTTGCTCATGCTGATAGGTGGAGAAAGCAGTCAGACTAGTGGTCTTGGTCTTGGATGAAGGCAGCAGGGTGGAGGTTCAAGCGGTTCACTGGACTCAATGCCAGCACGTTCAGATCCATCCACTTCTCAAAGCCAAACATGCCAGACTTGGCGTCTCACCACAGAGGGAAGGCCCCATGTCCTTCCCTACTGCCCACTCCCTCTCAATGATTGTCTTTTAGGGCTGTCTCTCACCCAGTCACTGTAACAGGGTTAAAACTGACCTGAAATTGTTCTGTATCTCAGTGTTAAACCATGAACCCCATCCAAAAAGGACTCTTGACTAAACTCTCTCAAATATGGTAGACGTTACACTGAATTTCTTCTCCAACGCTAGCCTCTATACGAAACGAGTCACTTTCAGAGTAAAACCCCACACTTGTTCTTGTAGCTTACTGTAGCTGGGGGCTTTTCTTGGTGCAGCTAACCTGGTCCATCGTTTCTCCCAGGAGCTGCTGATACACTCTAGGCTTATATTTTCTCCCCAGGCCTAAAATCATGCCTTGCATGTGATTAAATTGGTTTGTTGATTGGTGCCTCTGCTGCCCTTTGCCAAGGGGAAACCAAACACAGAGTGGGCTTGGAGTTGGCTGGTGGCTGTGGCCTAAGTGTGGAATCCTGTGAGTGGACATTTGGACTATTTGTGGCTATTTTTAATAAAACAGCTAATAACGTTTGCATGTCGTGTAAAGGTTACATGAAAGTTACACCAGTGAGGAGTTCATTGCTGGGTTGCATGAAGTGTGTGCAGCATTTAGCTTTTTAAGAAGCTGTCAAACTGTTTTCCAAAGGCATTGTTAGGGATACCATGTTAAATTCCCAGCAGCAGTTCATGCATTCAGTTCCTCACTAACTTTAGGTACTGTATCTTTTTTATTTTAGTCATTCTAGTGGATGTATATTGGTATCTTACTGTTTTTGTGGTACGAGGGATTAAACCCAGAAATGCTGAGCTATATAACTCCATCACTTTTTATTCTTTTGATAGAAGATCTGTCAAATTGCCCAGGCTGGCCTCAAATTTGCAATCCTTTTGCCTCAATCTTCTAAACAGCTTCTAAACAGGGATTATAGGCAAGTGCCAGTGTTAGATGCTCTTACTGTGATTTAAATTTCCATTTCCCAGTTAATTTATCTTTTCATACGTGTGTGTGTGTGTGTTTTACTGGAATTGAACCCAGGGCCTTTCCACTGCCCGGCATCTCCAGTCCTCCTGAGTGCTGAGATTACAGATATGTGACCCCATGCCTAGCAATGCTGTTGATTTTTGAGTGTTGACTTTGTATCCAGCTACACTATTGAAACTGGTTATTAAATTTAGAAGTCTTTTGGTGGAGGTTTTGGGGTGTTCTGTGTAGTCATATGATCCACAAAGTATGATAATTTAACTTCTTCCTTGCCTTACTCCTTTCATTTCTTTCTCTTGTCTAATTGCACTGGTTAACATAGCCAGAACTATATTAAATAAGAGTAGTGACTGTGGACATCTTTGTCTTGTTCCTCATCTTAGAGTGGAAAGCTTTCAGTTTTTGTCCATTTAGTATGATGTTGGCTGTCTGTGTGTTGATAGATGGCTTTTATTGGATTGAGATAAAGACCATCTACTCCTATTTTCCGCATTTTTTTTAAATGACAGATGGGTGTTTAACTTTGTCAAATGCTTTTTGTGCATCTATTGAGATGATCACATGATTTTTGTCCTTGGCTCTGTTAATATGGTGTATCACATTTATTGATTTGCGTATGTTGGAACTATCCCTGCATCTCTTGAAATGAATCCCTACTTGGTCATTGTGTATAATCTTCTTAATGATTTGTGGCATTCTGTTTGCCAGTATTTTATTGGGGATTTTTGCATCAATGTTCATTAGGAAGATTGACCTGTAGTTCTCTTTTTTGCTTCGCTCCATCTCTGGTATTGGTATCAGAGTAGTTTGCTTCCAGGTGTGAATTTGGGAGTATTGCTTCACCTTCAATATTATTATAATGGCCTGGGGTTTAGCTCAGTGGCGTAAGTGTCTGCTTGGCAAACGCAAGGTCCTGAGTTCGATCCCTGGCACCAAAAAATAAAAAATAAAAAATAAATTTTATTAAAGAATTTGAGAAGCATTGGCATTAAATGTTTTCCATACTTGTAGAAATCAGAAGGGTATCCTTTAGGGCCTGAGCTTTTCTTTGTTGGTAGGTTGTTAACTATATCTTTCATATCATTGTGCTGATATTGGTTTATTTAGAATTCTTCTATCTTCTTGATTTAGCTTTGGTAATTCATATGTAACTAGGAATCTATTTCTTCTGCATTTTCCATCTTATTAGAATACAAGTTCTCAAAGTACAAATTGATGATCTTCTGTATTTCTGCAGAAGCTGTGTCATTTTGCCTTTTCATTCCTAATTGCATGAATTTGTTAGTTTTTGTTTGTTTGTTTGTTTGTTTGTTTGTTTTTTGAGACAGGGTCTTGCTGTGTAGCATAGGCTAGCCTTGAACTCACTCCCAAGTACTGGGATTAGAGGCATGCAATAGCACATGCAAGTAATTGCATGGATTTAAGTCTTTTAAGTCTTTCCTTTCCTTTTTTTTTTTTTTTTTTTTTTTTGTGATGGTTGGCTAAGGGTTTACCAATTTTATTGAATCTTTCCAAGAACCAACTCTTTGATTCATTGATTTTTTTTGTATTAATTTCTTAGTCTCTGTTTATCTTTATAATTTTGTCCCTTCTACAAGCTTTGGGCTTGACTTGCTCTTCTTTTTCTAGAACCTTGAGGTTCAACATTAGGTTGTTAATTTGAGCTTGCTCTTGTTTTTTTCTGATACGAGAATTCATTGCTATAAATTTCCCTTGTAGGGCTGCTTTTATTGGTCCCATAAGTACTAGTATGTTTTATTGGCATTATCATTTAATTTTAGAAACTGTCTAATTTATTCTGTAATTTCATCTGCGCCCCATTAGTTATTTAGGAGAGTGTTATTTAATTTTTATGTATTTGTGAAGTTCTTGTGGTTTCTTTTGCCATTGATTTCCAGTCTCATTCTACTATGTCTAATAATATACATGGGATAATTTCAGTTCCTTTGCATTTACTTAAGCATATTGTATCAGCTAGTATGTGGTCTGTTTTGGAGAATGTCCCTCATGCAGCTGAGAAGAATGAGTATTCTGATATTGTGGGGTGGAATACTCTGTAGACATCTACAAGGTCCATTTATTTACAGGTTTGGTTAACTTCTAATACTTGTTATTTTTTTGTGTAGATGATTTATTTGTGACAGTGAGGTATTGAGTCTCCCATTACAATTGTATGAATGCTTATTTGATTTTTCTTGTCTATTAATATTTGTTTTAATAGTTGGGTGTACTGG